GCTGGATCTTCGCAAGGCATACCTTCAAGTGCGCAGCACCAATCACTGTGGCCCTATCAAACTGTGCTTATCAAGGGCAAAGTATTGCCTGACCCGCATGGGGTTTGGACTCAATGTGGCGCCATCAATTATGCAGATGATTTTTGACGCCATTCTGATGAAGGATGAGCGCATACAGTGGGCAACATCTGCATACATTGATTACGTGAACGAGGGAGTCATATCTGCGGCGCACGTGAAGGAGCATCTCTACAACTTTGGCCTCCTCAGCAAGGAACTGGAGAGGCTACAGGATGGTGCACAGGTGCTTGGTTTGCAGGTCTGGGGAGAGAATGATGTTCTGTATTGGAAACGGGGAAATGAAGTCCCAGACATGCCCCCCATTGTCACGCGGCGAAGCATATTTTCCTTGTGCGGCAAGTTTGTTGGGCACCTTCCTGTAGGTGGCTGGCTGCGTGTTGCGGTGGCGTTTATCAAGCAGAGAGCATCTGATGTCACCACTGGATGGGATGATGAAGTTCACGACGCCCCTCTCAACACTATGATGAGGGAGGTCCTCGTTAGAGTACGCAAGGAAGACCCAGCGTGAGGCAGATGGTGCGTTGACAGCCAAGACCTCGGTGTGTGGGTTGACGCAAGCTCTCTTGCAACTGGCATATCGATAGTTCACGATGGAGCCGTGGTGGAAGATGCTTGCTGGTTACGTCCAGAAAAGGACTCCCAGCACATAAACCTAGCGGAGCTCAATGCTGTCATCAAGGGGATCAACTTGGCGATCCTCTGGAAGTCGACCACCCTTCGTCTGTTCACGGATTTCGCTTGCATCTATAAGTGGATCTCGGATACCCTTACCGGGAGGGCCAGGGTGTGAACTAAATCCCCCAGTGAGATGCTTATCCGACGATGGCTCGACACGATCGTGAAGCTAGTGTAAGAGTACGCACTGACAATGGAGGTGTCCCTGGTCAAATCTAGCCTCAACAAGGCAGATTGTTTAATGAGGGTGCCCCAAAGGTGGCTTGACGCCACTAAGAAAGCTATTGAGCCCGTGCAGCCCGCCTGCGCTGCGTCCGTGAGTCCCGTTCGATTTAATTGAATCAAAGCGGAGTCAAGCGGACTCTGTATTTTGCCAAGTTGGTTGACCCAGGAGTACAAAAGACAGACGTTAGGAGAGTGGTCAGAAGCTGCGTGGCGTGCCAGTCTATAGACCCAGCACCCATTCGCTGGAAGAAAGGACAGCTGAGCTTGAGGAGCCACTGGAGCCGGCTGGCGATAGACGTTACTCACCACAATGGCGCGGATTTCCTGACGCTCATTGATTGCGGTCCATCCAGGTTTGCGATATGGCAGCTGCTGCGTCGGCAAGATGCAGCCACCATCATCCGTCAGTTAAACAGTATCTTCCTTGAATGTGGCCCCCCTACGGAGATATTAACCGACAATGGCACCGCATTCACCAGTGAGCAGTTCAGGAGGTTTGTGGATGGCTGGGGAGTGCACCCACGTACCAAGTGGAAATGGGATCATCGAGCGGAACCACAGGACCGTCAAGACCATCGCAGCCAGGACGGGCTGTGCGGTATCTGAGGCGGTCTACTTGTACAATGTGACCCCGAAGGATGATGTCTCACCCTCTACGGCGCCAGCCGACACATTGCATAGGTACCACGTCAGAGTGAAGCTGACAGGACTGAAAGTAACCGGAGAGAGGCTGAAGAAAGGTGATGTCGTCTGGATTAAAAACTCGCGCAGCAAGTGCACGATGAAATACGGAACTGGTCGCGTCACTGAGGTGGTCAGCCCACAGGCGGTGCCGGTCGATGGTGTGCCCTGTCACGTTAAGGACCTGCGTCCGGCGATGAAGTTGCAACCACCGCTGGCTGACAAGAGTGAATCGGAATCTGAGACCAGTGAGGCATCACTCTGGTTCACGCCAGCTCCATCAGGCAGTGACTCAGATATCAGTAGCCTTTCAAGGGACGCGGTGTTTTTCGACCCTCAGACCGTGGACAGGAGCACAAGTGACGATGAAGCTCGCAGCGTCCCTCTTTCGAAGAAGCACCCGGCGAACGCAATTGCCGCCTCCCTGTCAACTCTGTGATCATGAGATCAGGGGGGAGTGTGGGGAAAATAGAAATGGCTTACCTCCCAAACGCCCTCGCATCTGTCTGGCCTGTGGGTTGAGAAAAGAAAGAAAGGGTCCAAGATGGCATCCATGACTTTTTAATATTCACGGTCTCGTGCAGTCATGCAGTCGCGTTACACGCATGCTAATGAGGTGTGTCTGGGCTCCATAAAAGCAGGTCGCTTGGAGAAATTGGCAGAAGGGCATGACATCCGTGTTCGGTGTACGTTGCATCGTGTCAGATATTTTCCGACGGAAAGAGTTGCGTCCCTTACACTCTTGAATTTAACTCCTTTGCTACAATCCTTATTTTTACACATAGTCACCACTATTGGCTATACATTTCCAAAAGTGATTAACAAGAACCTTCATTTCATGGGTTGACAGCTATGCAGTGCTGCCTAGAATGTAGCTTGTCACACATCATCACTGCTTAAATGCATTAGCCAACAACTATGCTCACATCCACTATTTGGTTTCTGTAAACATTCAGTAAGCATTGATGAATGCATGCAATTTTTTTCTGCTTGGAAAATTCAATGATACACCTCTTCTTTGCATGCACTTTCATATCAGATGTTCTTTTATTTGAATGCCACTCACCTGCTATCTATAACAAGGCGACAAGAAAGTTATTGGCAGGAGGCCTCTATTACCATACCAACATCTACCTCTGACTTTCATATATATATATATATATATATATATGTTTGTCTATTTGCTATAAGATGGTGTACAAGATGGTTTTATGTAGAGCCCACAAATTTGGTATGTATATTTTTCAAAAGAGAGGCTGTTGCAAATTTTTGCAAATACTTGATGTAATTTCATAATAGTTCACTCTAATATTTTTGTAAAATTTTTTATTGGCTTTCAACTCTGAAATTCACTGTAACATCTCTACACTTAATTTCTCGAGAGAGAGAGAATGAAAATGAATGAATGAATGAATTCATATTCTCCACAATTTTGATTCTAATTATCAACATTGAATCAAGGAGGTTTATTTATTTGGTTGATGCAAAAGTCTCCAGCTGTTTTTTTGAAAAAAATTTTCATAACATCCTTATATTTTTCCTGGATTTTCAACCAAATAAATAGTGTATTCCATCTGCTGGTTCCAATCTGCTAAAAACATCCCCTCCTTAAATTTATAGACAAATTCTATAGATGCATGCTGGGATTTCTTCCTAACCAATATTTTTGGTTCTTTGTTGTCTTGAAGTCAGAATGCTACAATGATTTGACTGTATCCCTTTTTCGTGTGAAAATACATACTTTTTTAAGATCTTGCCTTATTACTGTTGCTTTGCCTACTTTTGACTTGCATATATATTGTTTGCTTAGTATTATTCTGCCCTTTTTTTTTTCTTTTCTTATTGTTTATTGAGAATTTATCCATTCCTTTTGTTGAGAATTTTGCCAATTACACTTAATCATGGACAATTACTCCACACCATCATATAAGAATGATTTAAGTCTTGAATTGATGAATTATTTGAGGAATTTTGATGTCTTGAAATTGTTCACAGCACTAACCAAACAAACAAGAAGTGTTACCTGGAGTTAAATAAGTTTAAAGGGACATATCTAGAGAATGAAATGCATTTGAAATAACTTCTCATTTCAGTTTCCTGATCATTTGCTACATTGCCTTTACAAATAAAGGCTAAGTGTTTGTCATGCATCAAATTACCAATCATTTTCTTTGCAGAGAAAAAGTTCTTTTCTCTTTCAATGTAACATTCAAACATGCCAATTGCTCACTATAGCTCTATACAGTAACAGTTTGTCCAGATTCTAGTAATTTAGTAACTCCAGGTAATTAAAGAATTCCTTTTGAATCCTATCAAACATAAGCAACTACTTTCCTCATACATTCTGATGGTTGTCCTAGATCTAACTAGGATTTTTTCTAGTTTTGATGCTCGTGCTAAACCCATTTTTCATTGCAAGCAACTATCTAGTCCAAAAATGCCTTTTTGTATCATGAAAACAAGAATTTAAATGATGCAAGTTCAAGTGGATGCATTTTTCTTGTTTTTGAAATTTTATGAACACTTGTAAATAACTGATTGTAATAATGAGCTGAGTAAACTTTGGACACTTCTAATATTTCTCTAACATTGTACGAAGCATGGCAGTGGGAACTTATATATATATTTTTTTTTTTTTTTAAGCATTACGCCCCAAGCAAGGTGTGAAGCCACTAGGATGCAGGAGGTTGCGGAAGATTTGGAGCGAGAGCAGATAGGAGTGATAGGAGAAAGGATGAGGAGAAGGATAGTGGGTAGATCAAGGCAACTGGAGATGTCGATTGACATTACATTTGAATAGTTGGAGATTATAGCTTTCAGGGAAACAGTAATTGGGGAGGGTGTTCCACTGGCGAGAGGTGCGAGATATGAAGCTATTGGAGTAGAAGAGACGACTACATTTGAAAGTTTCTACGGTGTAAGGGTGGGAGCGGGATGCCAGCCTCGTAGGGCACTTGAATTCATGGAGTCTGGGAATCAGAGAAAGCAGCTCGTCAGAGCAGTTACCATGGAAGTATTTGTAGAAAAGACAGAGAGAGGTGACGGCGCGTCTGTGAGAGAGTGACTGCAGACGAGACGCTAGATCAGGGCCAATTAGATTACATATCCGTCTCTGGATCTTGTCAAGAACTCCGAGGTAAGCAGAAGGTGCCCCAGCCCATATATGGCAGCAATATCAACCTATTATTATACATGTGGGTTTTGTTTTTGCATCCTCAGTAAATATGAATTTTTTTGTCATATTTATTACCTTGTATTTTCTTTTTTTTTTTTTTTTTTTTTTTTACATTCATATCCATTTGTAGTGATTTTTTTTCATATTTAAAATGTTTCTTTAGGGATGTGAAACCATCTACAGTAATATCAGAACTGGAGGCTGGACGAAAAAGTGCTCAATTTCTGATGCAAAAGGTGCCCCATATTATTCCATTCAGCGAAGTAAGTGTGCTTATCTATTAAGTAATATTATCTTGAATTTTTTTTATTATTGTCAACCATTTTTTAATTTTTAATGAGTATTTGCTGCATCTTAATTTTAGTTCTCATGAAAATGAAAGAAATACTTTTATGTGCTATATCCCTTCAGGATGTTGGGATCATTGCTTTCCACAACTTCCTATCCTTTTTAGCTCTTAGCAAGAGATAAATACTTGTTAAAATGTTAAGAATGGTTGCTTCATCTAATGAAAATTCAAGTTAACATTACTAATACTAGTGTACATAAAAACAATAACATCAAGTGATACCTTGCAATCAGGAAAAGAAGAAATGAGCAGTCAATTATCAGTTTAGATTTGACATTCTTCTAACCATAAATGTCCTTGTAGTTCAAGTGGTTGAGCAGCTGCTATGGAAAAACAGACTTTTCAATAAAATAGAGATGTGAATTTGAGTTTTTCCAGGTTCAAAGTTCTTTATTTCCAACCTATTGTGTTGACTAATCGCTGTAGACTGACGATCTGAGTAATGAGAGATGAAAATACATGTCAGAAATTAATAATGGTTTATTCATCTCTGTAGATTAAATTGAGCACAGATAGTATTGATGAAATGACTTAGTGTTTTATCTTTGTTTTCCTTCTTTTAATAAAAAGAAATTGTCTTCATTCTGTACTATTTTCTATTTAAAAAAATTTAAGTTTTTTTCTTTTTAAATGTTAGAGAGTTATCTTGTTCCGAAAATATGTGATGAAGGAAAAAGACTTGCTTGGACTGACTGAGTCTGCTTGTGCATCCCCTCAGTCCACATTGGTCACCATTCACCGTTCCCGGATTGTAGAGGTAAATACTTTTGTGATGATTAAAAGATTATTGGTTTAATGCAACTTTGTTTTGCCTTTGTTGGTTGGCATACAACTGGAAGCTCTAATATATATTAGACTTTAAAAAAAATATATACAAACTAAATTAAATTATGGAAGGCTAAAAAGGTATAAAAGGAAAAAAAAAAGCTTCTCAACCATTATCATTAACTTTTATTGTTTAATTATGTATACTTAAGCAGTAAAAGTTAATGATTTTATAACTCCATTCTTGCATTGTTGCATTATTTCAATGCAAACCATAAACATTAATTGTCAAAACTTGTTCAATCAAATTTTAGTTATGTAAAGGTGTAAAACTCTGTGTTTAAATCATCATGTTCTACTTTTAAGTATTAATATTGTGATTTTTTCCCATTCATTCATAACCACCTGAATGACTTTGCACTAGGAAAAATATTTGTCAAAAGTAGGTTTCTACAAATTCTTCAGGTATACCTCTGAAAGTAATAATTTTACATAAACAAATGTATTTATATATATATATATATATATATATATATATAATTCTGTGACTTCTGTTAGTCATATCCTCTAAAATAGCCAAACGTTAACCAATCAAAACCAAATTTTGGTGAGAAGTGCAAACAGGTAAGGGAGTACAAAGTACAGTTGGTTTTACTAGGGTAAAATTTTTTGATATTTGTATTTTTGAAAAATTAAAATTTTTATTTAAAATACAAAATACTCCCACTATTTTAAATACAATTTAATCAACAATGCCATATACGGTGTGGATTTCAACATGTGTCAGCATGTTGCAAAAAAAATTCTAGTAATCTAAAAAATTGATCATTTATTGTTTATCTATGTTCACATGGGGTATATTCTGTGGAAAGTTTGGTGTCTGTTAACTTCCTATATATGCTTTATATGCTTTTAATATTTGGCATGGTATTTACTGAATTTAGGCTAAAATTATGAAGCAAACAGTGGACACTGAATTCATCAGACACTAATAATGGTCTGCTAGACTAATTCATTAATCATTACCTCATGACATGGCACCACACTGTAAGCAAGAGAAGGAATGAAAATTTTGACATATGGTACCTGTGATATCATGGGTTACATAAACCAGTAGTTTTGGTAAAACCCTAGTATGTGGATATTTTGACTACATTAATGAATCTTATTGTTGCTTATGATCATGTTTTTTTTTTTTTTTTTTAACTATTGAAATAATTAGCTGTGTTTTATTTTATGTTGAATTACTCTTAAATTCATACATTTGAATGTCTCAAAGCAGGTTTTGTATATAAATTTCCAGTTGTGTTGCTAAAATAACAAAAAACAAAGCCAAATGCAAAATCTAATTTATTCATTTATAGAAGAATATTTATTTTTCTGCAGACAGTTTATAAAAATTACATATTTTTTTAATCAATTTTATAGCATTTTTATTTAAAAAGAAAAATGCTCATCAATATTTTAGCAAATTTTACCTACTGACTTGCTTGTTAATTTCATGATAAAAAGCCTAATGCTGTAATTATAACTATATGTCTCATCTGATCTTTAATCAGTTGTTGAAGGCTATGAGAGTTTCTGTGATGTTAATATTGTCACTGATTTTATATTATGTTAGACACATTTTCTCTCCCTTCTTTTATTTTCCTCTTCTACCTTTTTTGTTATTCTTCTTTTATTTGTTGTGTCCCTTCAGGACATAGGCAATCATAGTTCTCCACAACTTTCTATCTTACACTTCTTAGCAGCTTTTCTATCTATTCACACAAGCTTGTCAGGTAAATAGCTCACTGCTTTCCATTATTGCTCTTGTCCTGAATATTTCCTTTGAGTGTTAAATTTTCCAAACCCTCCACCCTCATTATATGTCTAAGGAATTTCACCAATATCTTCCTGATATTGAGTAGGTGTTCTTTCTATTGCCATTTTTTTTTTTTTTAAGACTTCCTTGTTGCTTACTTGTTCTATCCATGGAATTTTCAATATCTTTCTGCAGAATCACATTTTTACTGCCTCTAGTTTTTTTTCCTCATCCTTAGGGAAATTTTTCAGTATTCATTTTCATATAAGAGGGTGGATACGACATAGCAATCCTGCACTCTTTTCTTTGTTTCTAATAATTTTTTTTGTTTCTCAGCACCTTAGATTTTAAAATGCATCTTTCACTAGTCCAGTATGTGTTCAGATTTCAGTGTAACATTTTTCATCCTCTGTTAAAACACTTTCCAGATATTTGAACTTCCATACACCTGCTTAGTGCTTATATCTCTAATTTGTAGCTTGCATCTTTGGCCTTTTCTCTTGATGATGACCATACTTTCTGTCTTAATGGTTAGTCATTTTTTCTTGCTTTTGAATCCTGGTCACAGCACCAATTCCTGGGTCAATTCCTATGCTGGTTGATACTGGCACTGGTCATTGAAGTGGCTGTTCCAGTCTGTGCTATGCTCTGCTTCGCTATGTTGTGCTTTTTGGTTTCAGAGCTGACAAAGACTGACTTGTCGTCAGCAATTGCAGCACTGATTTGAACCACGGTGAAGCTGTGTCACAAAGGAAAAATATAAAAAAAAATATTCTTTGCCCACAAAAGAAAAGAAGACAGGAAATTCTTTGGGTCAATTTTCAATGTGGTTTATATAGTTCTTTGTACAGAAAAGTTAACACTTCTCACTGAAATCTATTATGACACTTTGCTCATTTTAGCCATGTCTGGAACAAGACTTAAGTTGGGAGTTCTCTTTGGCGACAAGTCATGTGGGCTTTTGATTGTGGACTTTGATTAAACAAAGCCCTTTATAAATGCAGATTAAGTAGAGCTATAAAATCTTTTTTCTTATCATTTAAATCTTCATTTTTGTAAATTTAAAAATTTTTGTTTATCCCGCCTTCAGGTACTTACTGTTTCCAGAATGTGTTTGTATTTTGTTAAAACTAATTCAATGAAACACTTTTGTTAGAGTTTTAAAAATAATGGCGAAACAAATGGAACACCATCAGTAACAAAACTCATTCAGATAATAATATGGCAAACTAATTCAAATATCAAAGGATTTAATACAGCTTTGTCCTAGATATTTCAAATTTGCTGTATTTATTGGGATAGAATGCTCAATATTGGGAATAGAACATTTACGGGGTACGATGGATAAATTGCCACCATTTTGTATTCTTAATTTCATGCATGCTCATTGTTTTTGATTTTGTTGACTGCACAGTATAGTAGGGTCAGTTGGGCACCATCTGTGAGAAAAGGAGCACCATGATGCAATTCACTCTGTCAGAAATTTGGAAATGGCATGCTGCACTGCTTGGCATTCATGTTGGAAGCTCCAATACAAACATTTCAAAGCGTTTGTGTGTCAATCTGAGGACAGAACAGAGGATTTGGAAAGAGTTGGATGAGTCTAATGGTGATTACAAAGGTGTTTGAAGTGATCACTAGTGATGGTGATGTTATGCCTCCATTCATCTTTATCACAGAGCCTCAGACTAAACTTGGAGACCTACATCAAGTGCCTTGAGGAGGTAGTGCTGCCTTGGGCCAAGAGGGTGGCTGCTGGAAGATCCTATGTCTGACAATAAGACTCTGCACCATACTACACAAGCAGAACACAGTCATAGCTGTGAGACAATTTCTGCAACCACATCACCCTTTACATCTGGCCACTTAACTCCCCAGACTGCAACCCCCTTGATTATTTTGTGTGGGGTACAATTGAGTAAGGGAACAAGAAAACTCTTTGTAATACCAAAGATGAACTGAAGGCAAGGATTATAGCAGCATTCTCCGACTTAAAGAAGGAGACTGTCCAGAAGAGTTGCACGAAATTCCGAAGTCTTTTGGAGGCTGTGGTTGAAGCTAATGGAGATTTTATTGAATAAATTTACTCTTTAGTATTTAATGATATTTTTGTATAATTTTGGCAAATATATCTGTTACAATGAGATGTCAGTGTTATTTTCATTTTTGTGTAATTTAGATGACAATTTATCCATCGCACCGTGTAAACAGTATGGACATAGAAATTGACACTACATGATGACTGTCAGTTTCAGGCTTTAAGTGACCTGATCTTCAGACTATGCACTACTACTACTCCTGTGGGCTCTATATATCTGCCATCAGGGACTAATGAGAAGGAAAGAAACTGGTTTTTCACAGTTTGTTTTTTTAAAGTTTTTTTTATTTATTAGGACTAATGTTTTAGATTATGTATGCTTCTAACCTTGAGTTTATTTATTTTTATTTATTTTTTCAGTTCAAATTTTATTTAAAATAAAGTTTATTAAATTTGATTTATAGGTTATTTGTTTATTTTTTTGAGTTGTGATGTGGTTGTAGGTAATTCCTTCTATGCTAATCAGTGTTAGTTTGAACTTTACTGAAAATGTATGATGTTTATATTCTAACACTTATGTTGCTTTTAGGTAACTGGAAATGTTTTGATCAAAATGTTATTAAGATGCCATGGGTAAAGATGGGGATGAGTGTGTGAAAAGAATTTTAATAAATGACAATAGTGCTTTATTTTACCAATGTTGCTGTTACAGAATTATAGTTAAAACCTGTTTTAATCTTGTTTCTCTTAGGATGGCTACAGACAATTAGCACAATTGCCAGCACGCAACTTGAAAGGTGTCATTAGAGTCAAATTCATTAATGAACAGGTAAAAAAATGTTTACTTTCTTCACCTTTTTTCCTTATTTGACCAAAGATTTTTCATAAATCTGATAGAAATAATTTTTATTACTATTTAAATTATTGGGATTATTTATCAAAATGAAGAATTTAAGCTTAACAAGTTTGAAGTATATAAATGATACTAACTTTTTAATAATGTACAAATATAAATCAACCATATGCAGAAAAACCGATTCACTTTTTATATAATGCTACAATGTGTGATTCTAAATTTTATTTTAAAGTTTATTGATAAATCTACCAGTACAAAAAAAATCCAGTCACTCTTAAGCAGCCTTTGTAATATCTTTAACTTCTGATATTTCAATCTTGTGTTGCTATTTTGTTAAATTGAGAAGCAAACTTTGATCTATTCTGTTTACCCGAGTTGCATGTCCTTGTAGTCAAGAGATGAGGGACATATTCCATCCTTGCATAACAAATATTATATGTTGTCTTTGTCCTCTTGGAAACATGACATGCTTTTGAGCAAAATGGTTTAAAAACAGTAGTATAGCTAGGGGGGAAGCGGTCCACTCTGGGTTACATTTTTATGGGGGTGGCACTTTTGGGTCTGCTGTATAAGCCTGTATAGGCTGCATTGAAATAAAATTGGTTTTAATGTCAGGACACTACTCACAGTTAAACAACCTTTTCGATTTTGAGTAACTTAAACTATAGCATGTGCATTTAAGCAATTGTTATCTTAGGTGAATAATAAACATCCTCCAGTGGTGTATTCAGGGCTGTTTTATCATTGTTGACAATGTGAAACCTGTGAATGAACCTGGGATGTGTTCTTTTAATGTTGCAACAGTGCGGTGTTTGGGAGACACATCTTGATTGTTATATAACTTTTACTTATTTTCCTTGACAGAAGTTAGTGTATGTGTTGCCTTATTGTTTGTCTTTTGGGCCTGTTAAACTGTGTTTGGAAAATAAAACATTCCTATAACTCTAGGAACATGCACACAACCCATGCACCTAATTAAAAAGCAAAAAATCATCCTTGATAATGGTTAAAAGTATAGCCGAAAGTGCTTGGAATTACAGAATATTTAGACAGTATCTACACATTCTGTGTCCAGAAAAGAAAACACTTGTTCAAACAAGAAAATTAAATAGAAAGCTTAATCGCAGTACCTTGTCTGTCATCTTTAATGAAACGTGTGTGTGTATGTGTATATGTATATATATATATATATATATATATATATATATATATACACACACACACATAAACATAAAGTGTGGAAGGTATATCTTCCATACTATTTTATATATATATATATATATATATATATATATATATATATATATATATATATATATATAAACTCTGAGAAATTTTTCATATATATTTATATATATATATTATTCATGAAAAGTATGTTACAAAAATGATATTTGATAATCCATTTTGCCTCTATGGCTTTTTCAGATGGATAACAAAAAATACATTGTGTGTGTGTATGCATTTGTGCTTGTTTAACATACTTAAATCTTTATTATTTTTCCCAAGCTTGTGTTGATCAAGACTAAAAAGAGAAAGAAAATGAGCGACTTTAAAAAAAAAAAAATTGTTTAACATTTTATATTCTCTGTCTTAAGTCTCCGAGTTTAGAGATGGAAATCTATACAGAATGGGTAGAAAATAGATGAAAGAAATTGTTTTTATCCATGTTGACAACATGTAATAAATTTGGGTATATAATTCTAACAGAGTTATGAGTTACTGACATTTGGAGAAATATTCATGAAAATATGTTATGAAAATGATATCCAATAATACTTTTAGCCTTTATGGCTTCTTCAGATGGATAATAAAAAATGTGTTGTCTGTGTAACTTATAACTCTGTCGGGATTATATACCCAAATTTATATATATATAAAAAGATGGAGTCACTGTGAAATATACTCTATTTTTTGTGTGGGGGGAGGTAAGGGTGGCATGCATTCTAGCTATGCCACTGCTTAAAAATATTATGAAACTATTACAAAATAGCCCATTTTACTATGTGTATTGTTTTGGAAGTGATTATTTTATGAAAGACATTATATACTGTATTTAATGACATACCTCATGTATGTAAACAAATTGAAAAGAAGCTATCTATAAAAGAATTGAACACAGGAACCAAACATATTTGTCTTAGGCAGTGATGCATGCTGCAATAATTTTCAGTGTGGTGAAAGAGCCCAGTATAAGCAGATGTCATGCCATGGAGATACACATATTTGAATGGAATTCAATTGTGTACCTTCAATGAGGCTGGTAGATCATTGGGATGCATCAATTCTAGCAACAGTTGTCAAATGAACATTCCTACACCCACAGACCAAATTCTGGCTGCTACAGATGTTTGCTAAGATTGATGCATTTTAAAGGCAACAATGGCAGATTACTCTGTTTTGGACCAATGTGCCCCCAAGAGTGTCAACAAAGACTTAGGATTCATTTACTTGCAGTAGAACACCAGGCACGATTGTCTTAAGTTAGAATTTTATTTATACCACAACACTGTCATGCACATCTCCAGTAGTGTCACAAGACAGACACCTGGAAGATTGAATGGTACATCATTTTAAATCCAGATTATTTTTCAATTTGTTCTGCTGTCATTCTTGCAACAAAATGGCAACATATTGTTCCAGAAGGATAATGAGTTATATACAATGATAGTGCTCTCAAGGGAAAAACCATCCTTTTGACATATCTTTTGCAAGTACAAAGATTAAACTTTGCTAAATAATTTACTGCAGGATGGTATTTACCATCTGTATAGTCATATGTATGCAAAGGTACAGGCCTTAATTCCCAAAGAGGATATACAGTATATGGGATGTGGGTAATGTTGATTAAACCCCTTATTTTGGAACCTCTAATTATTTAGTGTAATCAAGCTATATTGCCCTAACATTTAATTTTGAGTAAATTGAAACAATAAAATTGCAATACACTGAATATGCATCTTATTGGCATTATTGCCTTGCTTTGGGTGAATTGATTAATAGAAATTATCTTACTTGGCTTCCATTTATAACACTTGACTGGAAAGATGGGATTCTAAAATTCTTAGAGAAATTTTCATTACTCTACCAAATCCACAAATGTCCCAATGCTGTGATGTACTTTTACTCTTAGTTGGAATCAGTCTTTATTCTTTTTGTGGTGTTAAGAAAAATGCTAGCTGATTTTGATGAGGAGTTTCTATTTTTGTAGGGTTTGGATGAAGCTGGCATTGACCAAGATGGAGTATTTAAAGAATTTTTAGAAGAAACCATAGCCAGAGTATTTGATCCTTCTCTCAGTTTGTTTAAGGTAAGTTGGAAAATAAATGACTTTTGGAATCTTCTTCCTTAACCAGAGAATGTGAGGATTCTTTAGGTATCAGCTGGAAGTACTGTTTTTCATTTTCTTAGATCTTCTGAAAATGAAACCTATTCTTAGATCTTCATTTTTAGACATTCTTATCTAAATTTTATTCATGAATGAAAGCTGATAAAATTAACCTTACATAATATTAGCACACAAATTCACCTATATATTTATCTCTAATAATAATAACAACAAAGACTGTATTTTACAAAAATACTGGTTGAAGGCAAGCAGTCTTTGTAAGTAAAGTGTTCAATATTAATGAATGTAAATTTACCATTTAACCTCCAATAAGCAAATGCCAGTCTGCAACACTTGGAATCAGGAAAATAAGTCTGAACATTTTTCTTTACTTTCTCTCTGTATACATATTCAAATGCCACGGCACTCTCAAAATTTCACTGAAAACTTAAAATGGATGACTACACACTGGTAGTAAATTGGAATTTCGTTGTCAAAACTACACCCTTTTCTGGCCATGACAACCAATGTAGCCTGTGTTTGCTGGAAAAAAAATTCATTCTCAAAAATATTAATGATTCAAACCTACTGAACAAACATAATAAGCTTATGATAGCTTGCATCCATAGAAAAAAATCTCTCCTAAAGTATTTTGATTCTGGATAGATCATTTAACCAAACAACACCTGCCCATTACATATTTTAGGTTATATACTGATTACCTGCCTTTAACCATCTAAGCATTTATTAATACATAACAGGCTACAGGGGCATTCCTCTTATATTTTTTTTATAAAATTTCTTTGCCCTTCTACACTTTTGTTTTTAGATTTTTTTTAGATTATTTATAAACAATAATACAACTGTGCATACCCCTTTCATTTTTTTTTATTCATATTGCTTGCTCCTTACGATTTATAATTCTTTTAATTAAATTCCTTTTTTTTTCCAATGGAAAAACTTGTACCATATATCATTTTTTTGCTTTATTTTCCCAGTATCTCCCTACCTACACTCTATATTTTGAATTTACACTCCAATAATATATTAAATTTAGATTAACTTTGAATCTGTGTATAATTTAGTGTTCCTCCCAGTATTTAAAAAAAAAAAATTGTATTAAATTGTTCGTTCGCAATTCATTCCTGATGACGTGTGAAACCATGAAACTTTAAGTTTTACTACAAACGTAGGTATATGTGTATTTATTAATATATACTTCATAGCTCTGTTTAACTACATTGAGCACTATTTTGTTTGCACCATAAATTAAATCAATATTTATTTGTTTATTTGTGTATGCATGATATTGCATGCATATACAGTTGCTAATATCTTGTTATTTAGTTTATTTATATTATATATATATATATATATATATATATATATATATATATATATATATATATATATATATATATAGGTGGATCAATAAATATGTAGCTTAGCTGAATTTATTAACTGTATAATGTTTGTTACTCATTAAGTGCTTTTACATGGAAGGAGATTATGCTGAAAAATATTTGTTCATTATTAGATCAGACTCGATTCAATAATATTTAGGGATTTTATATTTTATATTTTTTTTAGCATTGAATCTACAAGTAAATACTACTAATATCTGTAAAACTTCCATAATGCATCTTTTCTATTTATGAGTATGACATTAATTGATATGCCTAAAAGGAAACAACAACATTATATTGCAGGCTACTAGTGAACAGAAATTGTATCCATCATCAACATCTTACATTCAAGAAGAACATTTGGCCTTGTTTGAGTTTGTAGGCCGCATGCTGGCAAAGGCTGTATATGAGGTGAGATTTTCACTCAACATTATTTCTTCATGTGGGTTTTGGCAGATAAATATCATTTGGGAGACATTGAATATGTTAATAGTCATTTCTGAGTTTTTGGTAATTATGAAAAGAATTCAGAGAACTATTTTGTGGTGTTATTTTAAATAGAAACTAAAATAGAGAAAGATTTAACTTTATGAAAAAAAGAATTCTGTACAGGCTTGAAAATTTAGATTTTGGAGTTGTTTGATATTTGTTCATTTAGAAAATTAAATTCAATATAACTTAATCTATATTTGAGACAGATTAAATTTGAATCCATTACCAAGGTATAGGAAAGTAAAATTTAATTCTGAAATTCTGGGTTTAAATAATTTATGGGGAGTACAGAATTTTATTATAGCTTTAGAAAGAAAACAAACTAAAAAAAACTAACCAGTTATCATTCCTTACTCTTCACAGCTTACTTGAACACAAAGATTTGTACACAACAACTAAAATATAATTGGGGGATAATAGAGACCGTCAATAGTATCAGTCACAAACGGATAACATTGACCTAACATCGACTCTTACTTACAGAAAGAGGGTTGCTTAAATTTGATATATTAGGTATCAAGTATTTTTAAACAATAATCTGACTGTGCTCTGCTGATGACAAATGAAACACAAATTGTATTACTTATGAGGTGTTCTGCAATAGCAGACCTGGATGTATTGACATATTTTTGTTGTATTTTTTGATTTACTATTTTATGATAAATATATTTTTCCCTAGCTCTTCCCCACTTGTTTTAATATATTTGGATATATTATATATTAATATATATTCTTTAATGTGTTCATTTTTAAAGCTATAATAAAAATGTTTAATTTTTTGTTTTGATAAGGATATGTTCAGATGTTTATGATATTGTTCAAAAAATAATTATGTAGATTATATCAGTGGTGGTTTTATTGTTTGAAAATACTTTTTCTTTCTTTTTTTTGTTTCCAGGGAATTGTTGTGGATGTTCCATTTGCTCCTTTCTTTTTAACTCAAATTCTTGGCCATCAACAGAGTTCAACTTACAGCTCTCTTGATGAACTCCCTTCACTGGACCCAGAACTTGCCAAAAGTCTTTCCTATTTAAAGGTTTGTCCTCTGCATCCTCTAGTTTCATAACCTTTTCAGTTGAACAAAAAAAATCCATTTTATTCCCAACAGTTTTTGCTATTATTCAGTATCTGTCAAGTTTGGTCTGATCTGGTTGTATTTGATGGCATTTAAGACCAGCCCCATTCACATTTGATATTTTACTGTATTAGGAATTTAGGTTAGGTTGTCTACAGCATTTTTGTAAACTTTAACGAACCAGACAATTTACTTTGTACATAAGACTTGGGGTCTATTGCTCTGTTTTGTCTACTCTTAAGCTGAAACAAAAGAAACAGTCTTATTTGTAATAAAATCACCAGTTGTGTAAATATTAATGTAAAGAAAATTGTCAACAAGAAGAGAAAATTTTAAAATCAAAATAGAATAATGACTTGCCAATCTGTATCTTTTTTTTATGCTATGTTCATTCAGGATGTCAGTAATCATGACTTTCCACAGATTCCTTCTCTTTAATATCTGTGAATTGCCATGACTATTCTTGGGAAAAGTGTGGGGATCAAGTTCACTATATAAGTAGTAAATATCTGCAAGACTAATGCTCTAACCATTGTTTCTAAGTTAAAGAATTTAAAAATAAATAAGTGCTTTATCCATTTGTATAAGTTGATGCTTCAAATTTTAATGAAAACAAATTTCTTCTTGCAGCACTATGAAGGAGATGTTAGTGAGCTTGACCTGACGTTTTCTTGTGATGAGGATTGCATGGGTCGATTGGAAACACATGAATTGGTTCCTGGTGGGAAAGTCATTGGAGTGACCAATGAAAACAAGTAAGGATGATTCTAATTTCAACACTAATATTATTGACCTAATATCTATAAAATGTTAATAAAAAAATGGATACTTGTATTAAGGGAGAAGAGAAAGGAAAACAGATGAGGAAGAAGATTTATTTGATCTCCTCTCATCTGTGTATTCTTGGACCTTCCTCAGCTATTTGTTCTATCATTATTTTTTAACAGAAATCTTTCTCATTTTCAAAATGTTCTGTTAGTAATTCATAATTTTAGGCAACAAAGTTTCATTAATTATTGATTAAAAGATGTTTGATTTAGTTCAGTGAATGAAGCCAAGTGGATCAATAATAATGCTCATTATTCTTTGGATTTTATCAAAGAGTTAAAAGTAAATAACAAGGACACTGGACCATATGTGGCAGCAATATTCTAAGCATAGATAAATGGTAGACTTATAGATATATATGATAGATTCTGGAGAGAAAAATTGTCTTTAATGACACTGTGAACCAACTTAGCAATTGACCTAATTATAATGCATAACAACTAGAGCATATGGATGATTCCAGATCATTTTATTTTTAATTTCTTTATCATGTATGTCACTCATATGTAGATGAGGAAAAGAAGAGAAATTTGAAACAGGATATCTTTGAATACACATCAAGACCAAGTAATTTAAAAGAAAATTTTTTTATTTTAATCAATTCATCCCAAGCAAAGCGATAAAGCCACTAAAATGTAAGGGGCTACTGGGAGTGAAGTGAATGAAAAGATTTTATAAGGAGCCAGAAACCTAATCCTAAACAGGGAACAAGGGATAAACCTCTATTCCTATTAAAAAGATCAAGGAGGAGTGTGAACGGGGCAATAGTAAATTAAGGAGAGAAAGATAAATAAATGCAGTTCTCTTGTTGATGAGAAAAAACAATGAATGAGGGCATAGTTTGAGGGAGTTGAGAGATTGTACAGTTTATAAAGGGAGGGAAACCATTAGTAATAATTTTTTTTTTAATACATTTGCAGAGTTTAATAATTTGTAAATTTACTTGCATTTCAATTATTCTTGTCTTTGTTTCATAACATTCACTGTTGCATCTCTCTTTAGTAATACCAAACAGAGATGCAACAGTAAATGTTATGAAGGACTAATATCAATGGTTGATTAGTTATTGGGAATGATAATATCCCAACAAAAATCACTAAAAAAAAAAAAAAAAAAAATTTCTATAAAAGCGCAATTACAAAAAAATTTGTGGTGAATGAAGATTTGTGATGGATGTTAATGATTGTAATAGCAACAGTTTACATTTAGTCTGGATGCAGGGGAGGACTTTCAAAGTACATGAATTTAAGATGTGGAGGATTTTTATGTATATATGTTATATAAAGAATAAAATAGCTTGGAAAAGTGAAAATTACATTTAGAAGTATACATTGATAGACAACTCTGAAAAAAGAGAGAAAACATTTATGTACTTAGCTGTAGTGAGTTTGTGTGCATGTGATTGGCTGTCCAGTAAAATAATTTGTTATAGAGGTCTTGTACCTATCATGCCCAAGAGTGAAAAAAAAAAAATTGTTCTACCTTTTTATAGTACTGAACAGAGCCACCTAGTTGTGTCTTAGCAGACAAGTTCTGATAAAACAATGTTTCTGATAAAAATAAATGGAAGCTAAAAGGTAAAAATAACAAAAATTTTTAAATATAGACTTATTAAAATGATATGCAGTTGAGACAACCTGTGAGTATAAAACCCATCTATATGAGCTTTGCTGACAATCATTTTACAAAAGCTGCTAGGTACATATATAATTTTTTTTCATTGTCAAACACCTTTAAAATAATTGTCCAGGCAGGCAAATAGTTTTCTGTAAGGTATTTATGCTGATGACACAGTTATTCACTCCTCTCTTTATAGTAAGTCCTATTGGACAACAAATTAAAACTGGCAGTTCCTTTTGAAAATGACTTCCAACCAGTTGTTAACTAGGGAAAGAATGGCTTGTAAATTTTAATGCCTCCAAAATGAAACTGTTATCATGTAATTATTGTAGAGAACCTTTTTTGTCTTCCATCAGCATGGCTGATGCTACCCTCTAGGAGAGCAACTCATTGTGTCTTCTTGGTCTCACATTTTTCACTGACATGAAGTGGAATGATTATATTGAATCAATTGTTAGGTTTGCAGCTAGGAAAGTTGGTTCACTGTGATGTAATAGATGATTTTTTTTTCACCAGAATCCATTTTGCCTACTTATATATCTACCATTTGTCCATGCATTGAATATTGCTCCTATATCTGGTCTGGTTCTCCTTCTTGACAAAATCCAAAAAAGTGTCTGTAATGTTTTTGGTCCTGACATCTTAACTTCAGTCACTTTCCCATTGTTGTGACATGGCTTTGCTCAGTCTTTTATATAAATATTTCCATGATAATTGTTCTGATGAGCTTTCCTCCTTGGTATCTTGACTGCATGAATTTAAATGTACTACTTGCTTGGTAACTAGATCTTACCATTTTACTGTTGAACTAGCTAGATGTAACTGTAAGTTCTATTCTAATAGTTTTTTTTCCTTGCACTTCTCACTTGTGGAACTCTCTTCTGGTTTGTTGCTTCCCTGCTACCTTCTTCTTTTTTATATGCCATGTCCCGTCAGGAAGTAGATGATCATAACTCTCCACAACTTCCTGTCCTTTGTAGCTCTTAATAAATTTTGTCTTTTTGTTATTTCTCCTAAACCCTGTTCCACCATCCATTTACTCAAGCTCATTAAGTATGTTATGTATTGTTTTCCTCTTGCCTTCAATCTGTACTGTGAGTACCAGATTTTCCAAGCCCTCTTTCCTCATTATGTGCCCTATAAGTCTCAACTGTCTCTTCCTGATGTTAAGTATAAGTTTCCTTTTTGTTTCCATTTTAATCTTCAAAAATTTAAATGCAACGCCAATTGCCATCCTGATACCTGTTATTTTATTGTCCTTTCTCTTCACTAAAGTCTTATAATTCTCTTTTACTCTCAGTAAACCCCTGATGTCTTAGTGGCATTATAACCTTGCTTGAGGTGAAACAATTAAAAATAAAAAAAAAAATTGATATTGATGAATTCATATCCATCATGTTCCATACATGAAAATCTGCTTAAATTTATTTATTACTGGAAACACTTTGGCATCAGTCTTTTGAGGAAGTCAGTAAATTCTTTTCCGCTCCTAAACTCTGATAATTGAGCACATTATAATGTAAATTAAACAGTAATTTATTAATTTTTGTACAATAGGGTACCGACCCCTGGGACAACCATAGTCAGCAGATTAAATACCCCCTGCTTCTTAACAGGTAGTATAACAATTACAAAATTAGTTGTGTGTCAGAATATTCCTCTTTTATTTTTTCCAGGATCCGTTATGTCCACTTGATGGCACATTTCCGGATGTATTGCCAAATCAAAGACCAGACAGCTGCATTTATTCATGGATTCAGATCTGTGGTCAATCATGAATGGTTGAATATGTTTTCTGCCCCTGAACTCCAGAAACTCATTTCTGGGGACAATAGGGACATTGATATTGATGACTTGCGGTAAGAAATCAATTTGCTTAAATTAAGATAATAAATTGGTATTTTTTAAAAATTGTTTTTCTCCATGTGTGTGTGGGGAGAAATAGTCACATTTTATATGGCTAAAGATTGCTTTTATTTTTCATTATACATGTATACTGTAGCAATATATCTTATGGGTAGTGTAATGAAAAATATGGAAAATAGAATAGGCAAGCTAAATTCAATTTCTAGGTGAGTCTATTGCATTTACTTTCACACAAATGCCCTTAGGAAAGGCATGAATCTGTCTTTTCTCCCTACAGATCTAGGTTAAATAGCAGGGCAGATTGGGTTCTCTAGCCATGAATGACAACTTGTCTAAGAGAAATACAGATTTGAATTGAAAACCAGTCTTAAGAGGGATGTGCCCTCTTAGGCTATCTTGCCTTGGACCCACATATTGCTGTGACTGCACTATATGCAGTACTCCTACAACACTTTGTGTTACAGGATTCATAATTAAATGTGTCTGTGAGTAAAGTTTTTTTCATTTAACTCTTCCTTTCCTATACTAAAGAGCATTATTTTATATTCAGGACATTTGTAATGTAAACAACAGAATTAATGTTATTCCAAGTTTGTTTGCTTTTAACATTTATCACTACATCATCTTTTAAATAAATCTGCCGCTTTTACTGTATATGGAATCCCCTCAAAATATAGTGTTTTATATATTAGTTCTATATATTTGAAATTGCAGTAGCCTGGCTCTCAATTTCAGTCAAGACTGTTTTAAGTGTTGCCATAGAAGGATATGACTACACAACCAAGAAATTCAAATTCACCTTGTTGGTATAGGATAGATTCACCTTGTATTGCAATAGGATAAGATGCAGCACAACTCCATCCTGTCTGGACATCTTTGCTCCAAAGAAAAATGTGATATGGAGAAAAAAAAAAGTTTTTTATGCTTCGACTTGCTATTACATTGTAAACATCATCAACATGGTTTGTTTTCCTTGATTTAAATTCTTGAGCATTTTGAACTTCTTTGTACTGTTTTTACTCAAATTAAGGAGTGACCAAGACTGGCAATTGCTAACTGAAATATTTCCATAAAAAAAATAAATCATTCGTTGAAATTACAAGTTTTTTCTTTCTTTTAGTCAGATATTGTTTTATTTCCTTTCACTTCCTGAATTCTGTGAGCAGCTTTTGTGGTTTTGATGCCCAGTTTTAAAATAATAACTCCAAATTGTCAGAATTTCATTACCTCATTGTATCTGCTATGAGGCAAATGGAAACACCTAAGCAGCATTGATATAATTATATATATATATATATATATATATATATATATATATATATATATAGGAATCTTTCAATTAATGCATTTCTGATTAGTGTGCTAAAAGTTTTCATACCAAAATTTGATTAGTGCATGCATAATACTTGATTAGTGTGGTAAAACATTCTTCAACTTAACCATAGTAATTGGAAATTGATTTTTTTATAGTTACTGATTAAAATTTTTCTAAAATAGAAAATGGGTAACTATTTTGTTTGTCAATTTTGTTTATATTTGATTAATGCATTTTTGATTAGTGCATATCTTTTTAATGTTTGCATTAATAGGGATTCTCTCTCTCTGCACTAATCTATATATATATATATATATATATATATATATATATATATATATATATATATATATATATATATATATATATTGAGAATCCTTTATCTGAAATTCTTGGGACTGGAAATCCTTTGGTTTTCAGATTTTTGGGGATTTTGGAATGCAGGCTATTTAATTTGGAATGGAACCCAATCATAAACATGATATACCTTTATATTTCACACCAAAGCTTATATACTTTTTAAGGTAGTTTTATATAAATAACATATAGTCTGAAAGTAATTTATATAAAATTTAATAAATTTTGTGTACATATAGATACAAGTAATAATTCTAGTCATGTAATGCTCACACAGATTTTTCACTGGTGAAATTAACCTTTCACATAAAATAATGTTTTGTACTTTCTGTACATGTACAAAACAAACATGATCACTACTTATATAATTTATTCGAATTGAGTGAATTTATTGGAAGGTATTAAAAATATTTTCATTTTTTTAATCTCTTGAGAGCACTTGTCTGGTTTTGAAGCTTGTGTTCTGTGCTATTTATGGTATCTTTCAATGATCCTACTCGTATGTGTCTAATACAAGGAAGCAGCATTTGTAGATTTATGACCCATTAATGACTTCAAATTGCCAGAATCTCATTACCTCATTGTATTTACTATTATATCATCTGAGGTAAACACAACACCTGAATAATATATATATATATATATATATATATATATAGGTATGATAAAAAATATACATACACACACATATACTTGCATGTATGTATAAATATATTTCTTCAGGTGTTATAAATACATTGCTCAATGTTATGAGACAGAGATATAAGTATATATTAGTGAATATACATAATATCCAACGTTGATAACACGACTTGGTGTTTCATGCAGTTCTGGCAATCTTTAAGTATGAATCATCTGACCATTATTGAGTTTGTTTTCTTGTGGTGATGATTCAAAATTGTGTGTTAAAACTTGTTTAATTATTGTTGCATAAAATCTTAGAATTAATTATTAATAATTTATATCATTCAAATTCTTAAATTCAAGAGGCTAGCAGAATGGTATCATCAGGGAGTATCTTAATGATATTGCTGTGGTAGTGTAAAGGTCAGTGATTTGAATTATATATATATATATATATATAGCATTCAGTTTTCATTACCTCATTGTGTCTGCTATTATATCATCTGAAGAAAATGGTATATCTGAATAGTATTGATGTTATATGAGGCAGAATTCTAAATAGTCTTTTAGTACATGAAATAATCTGTCGTAAAAACCTATTTAAAAAAAAAATCACACTTTTGGTACACCCAAATAACATTGTCTATTATTGTATTTTGACAGGGCAGTAATTAAAAATTATTCTTTCTAATGTTGGAAATTATAAAAAATTGTTTTGTAATCTTATGATATATTTCCAGTCGCCACACTCAATATTATGGAGGCTATCATAACAACCATCGTGTTATCAACTGGCTCTGGGACATTGTTGAGCATGATTTTGATGTCCATGAACGAAGTCTATTTTTAAAGGTATGTAATATACTTTTTTATTCTCAATGCTATGAGATTTATTTTCTCTCACTTTCAACTCCTAGATCTTTGGCCTAAGATATTCAAATACAGAATGATTACTATAGTTTAGGGTTTCCCAACATAGGCAATATCGCCCATTGGTTGGCAACTTCAACTGTTGGGTGGGCAATGAGCAACTGAACAGAAAATGATAGGTGATTTGAATTTTTGGTGAGCAATATAGGATTTTGAGTATTAAAAAGGCAAAATTTCAGCATATGCTACCCTCTAAAAAGTATATGCAAACAACCTGTATAAAAAACAAAAAGCAGGAGGCTAAATGGGAATAACTGGATCATATATGTAAATAAGCTATAAATATCCCTGCAAACAAGGAATATTTTGGTATTTTCTTTATAGTTTTCAATGGTCAAGTTTGCTTTTGTTTGTTCTTTAATATATAGCTACTGCAGCTACTGTTGTTAGTGTTATTTGTTACCTCACTTTTCTATATTTTGCTACATCATAAAGTCATTTTACAAACTAGAAACAAACTTTTACCAAGCTATTTTGCTATGCTTTTGTTTTGAATATTTACTATATAACTGGCATTTCAGTGATTGTCTTTTATATAAAATTTTTAATTATTGATTATTTTCCCCAGTGTACTGTGGCAAGAGAGAAAATTCTCTGCTTCCTTATAGTTTTGAATACTTAACAATGGAAAAGAATGCCCAAGGTAAACATCCCGTACCCTTATCCCCCACATTTAAAGATGAGATTCTAATTTATAACAAATAACAAGAAATTAAATCTTGTGAAAAGGCCTAAGATTCTGGATCACTGAGACATCTGAAAGAATCAGCACATTTGATAGGTTATGAGTGCCCACTTAGTAGACTTAGCATAGAAATAAATTTGATATGGCAACCACAAATAAAGAAAGGAAAAATGACAGTAAGTCTTCAACAACAGCAGTAAATACAGGCAGGTTAGATTTAAGGCTCCAAGTTCTTCACAGAGAATTTTCCTATAGTAGACTCTAGTGCATTAAAGCATTGCTTTGTGAATTTGGTGATATATTAATTGTGAGTTCAATCACTGGGCCAGACAGTGTGTACTTAGACTCAGTGGAAACAGGGCGAGCCATAACTGAGCAATATTAAAAATAAGAACTAGATTAGATATCCCTAAACATGGGCAGTGGAATGAGAACAGTCTAGATTAAATAAAGGGTTCAGTTTGGAATTCCCTGTAGCTTACCTGGATTGATATACACCTGATGAAGGCTGGAGGGTACTATGGTTGAAGTATTGTGATAACAACAACAATAAAGATGAGGACTATAGTCCAAATGTAAATAGTGTAAATATTAAATCACTTAATATAAACACTTTATCTGGCTAGAAAATATTTGTTTACTATATGAAACATAGAATATTAGCAGGTTGTTGCTGACCAAGGGGCCAGTCACCTGTGATTGACATGTGCCTCTGTGTTATATTAATTTTTCTTTATCTTGGAGCTTTAAATAAATATCTTTTTGTTGTGAGTCAATTAAGCATACTATGTTCTTGCTTCCTCACCACCTATCACCTTTCCTGGGGTGAAACAAAAAGAAACATAAATAATCTGAAATTGTTCTGTTACCCAAGGCATGTATCTGATTGTGGGATCTGTTGACTCTACATCTTTGTCTCCTTAAATTGTCAAACTCAATCAATAGTCATCTTTAAATTAGGACTTAATTGATTCCTTTCTCCCCTATTTTATAGGATTTTTTATTTGGTAAAAAAAAACCCTGCAGAAAAGAAATAGTTCAAACAAATGTTTAAGGTAACATTAATTTATATGGTCACATAACAAAGACAGATCACATGGGTCGAGTTTAAAAACAGACAAAAAATTTATTAACACACAAAAATGAATGAATTACACAAATTAAGAGCTTTGTGTGCCAAATGATGTCCAATAACATGTATGTAAATTATCAATGAAAATGAAATATGCCTTTCTAAAATAATAATTATAATGCAGCATAAGGTCCTTAGAAAACTATCTAAAAAGTGAAAATACTTCTCCGAATAGTTTTCAAAGAATAATTTGGTAAAGTTTGTGGTAACAGCAAAGAATAGATCAAGCACACCAGCTGCAGATATTTTTCTTGATATGGGGGTGACTTTAATGTTCCTTTCAATTTGTGTCTGGTAATTGACAAATTTCTTCTGCATTGTTTTCTTTCCAGACTGGGGTGACCTGGGTTCTCGTTCACTATGAAAATTAAATGAAAGGCCTCCCTTAAATAACTTACAAGTAGGCTCCAAATACCATAAATTCTCCTCAAACTCTACTCATGACTCATCTGGAGTATCCCTGCCTAACTTCGCGCTTAAAACTGAGTCTCTGTTGAGTAATATGCATATAACCCCTGCTATGGTTTCTGCTATCATCTCTAACCTTGATCTCCACAAAGCATGTGGACCTGATGGTATCCCTGTTATTAAGAAGTGTGCTCTCTAAACTGTATAATAAATGCCTTGCTGCCTCTTGCTTTCCTGCCTGTTGGAAATTGTCTGTTGCTCCAGTTTTTAAGAACTCTAGTGAACTGTCTGACCCTTCCAAATATCAGTTTTCTACCTCTTTTTGGGAAACTCCTAGAGGCCCTAATCAACAGTCAACTGCTGATGTATTGACAATAAATGCAGAAAGAGTCTACCATGCTCTAGATAAAAATGGTGAAGCTTGGGCAGTAGCATTGGACATCTTGAAAGCCTTTGACAGGGTCTGGCATACAGGTCTTCTCCACAATTTGAAAAGTTAGTGTCTCCAGAAACACATTTTTGAGCTGATCCAGTCTTTCCTATCAAATTGTGAAATGAAAGTTATTCTGATAGCCAATTGTCTAGATCCTTTCATACTAATGCAGGTGTCCCCCCCCCAGGGCTCCATCATTAGTCCTATGCTATTTTTAATTTTCATTAATGACCTTCCTGATAACATCAACTCTCAACTTTGCATCTATGCTGATGACATAACCATTTACTCCTGCCTCGATAGTAAGATTGATCAGTCCAATAAGGTCAAAATGGCAGCTGATGTCCAAAAATTGGGGTAAAAGATGACTTGTCAATTTTAATGTCTCCAAAACTAAACTTCTCTCTAATAACCATATGAGAGACCCCTCTCTACCTTCCAGTAGCATGGTTGATGCTAACCTCTAGGAAAATGACTCATTGTGTCTTCTTGGGCTAATGTACTCAGTTGACATGAAGTACAAAGACTATATTGAATCCATTTCTAGGTTAGCTGCTAAAAAAGTCAGTTCACTCTGTAGTGTGAGAGAATTTTTCTCTCCAGAATCTATCTTACATATCTATAAGTCTATCATTCGTTCTTGCTTATGATATTGCTGCCACATATGGTCCAATGCCCCTGCTATTTACCTTTAACTCCTTGATAAGATCCAAAGAAGAATCAGCAATATTATTGGTCCTAATCTGGCAGCTTAGCTTCAGTCACTTACTCACTGCTGTAAGGTTGCCCCTCTGCATTATTTTTTAATACTTTCATGATAATTGTTTGGATGAGCTCTTTGCTATTGATTGTAGATTTTATGAATTTAAGCGCAGTACTAGACTGCTGTTGAGATCTCATCAATTTGCAGTTGAGCTGGCTAGATGTAGTCATAAGTTCTATGCTAACAATTTCTTTTCTCGGAGTTCTTGCTTGCTTCCAGCCAACTTTAATCTGCAAAAATTTAAATGCAATGTAAAATTTAAATTGCTACCTACTGTCCTCATGATTACTCTTTCTTTTTCTGCTTATCATTAATGTTTCTGTTCCTAATCCTTCCACACCCTGTAACCCCTTGTGTTTTAGTGGCTTTACTTCCTTGGTGATACAGTTTTTTTTTTTTTTTTTTTTTTTTTTTTAAATGCAGCTGTTTTACCACAAATCAAAATGTACCAAAAATATTTCTGAAATTAAAAAATTAAGCAATAGCCTAACGCAGTGTCTGCTTTCTTTCTGAAAGCCAGATGATGCACGCTCATGCAGCTTACACAAATAAGCAAAAAAAAAAAAAAAAAAAATTAAACTCAGTTGATATCAGTGCATGCTGTTTTTTTTTCTCTTCTAATTTGGGTTCTTGTTCATATCATCTTTTCTACATATATAAACCCCCACCTCTCTACCATTTATTGAAAGACAGTCTCCTGTACAGAGAAAAAATTATGATGGGAATACACTGCTTTGATTTTTGTTGGGAATGGGTTATGTTGTTGTATTCTTATACTTGCAAATTTAATATTTATATTTGTAGATAATTTTGTAAAACACCAAGCACACTATTTTCTTTGATTTTTATAAATCAAAATTTGAACAGAAAAAAAAAACAAAAACAAGTGATTCTGTTATCAACTTTGCCTCAATACTAATGCAGGTCTTTTGTTGTTTATATTCAAGGATTTAACTTTTCATTTTCTTTTTCAGTTTGTTACAAGTTGTTCCAAGCCCCCTCTATTAGGTTTCTCCAACCTGGAGCCTCCATTTTCAATTCGCTGCGTTGAAGTCAGTGATGATCAGGTTGGTTCATATTTGAACAGAGCTTTCATGCCAACCTGCTATTTCATGTTCTATTGCTTTCAGTGATATGTTTTTTTTTCTTTTACAAACCTATATTTTAATTTTTTCTTTTAAATTTATACTATTATTACAGAAGACTTTATTGAAACCAAGTGATAAGAACACTTGAATCAGTTTTGTATTGTATGTCTCCTTTAGTAATAATTTCCTATTTAAGAGGAAGAACTTGCCACTGTTTTTACTGAAAATAACCCAAGTGTTAATTCATGCCATCTTTGTTATTAGATTTTCTGATTTGACAATATTTTTTTTTTTTTTTATATCAAATTGAACCAACTTAAATCTGATACAAGATTGTGGCTTTTGAAACCAGTACACTTACATAATCTGTTTTTGATTGATAAATCTGCTAGCTCTGGCAAAAACAGAATTTTTATTCTGACTATTCTAGTTTGTTTGGGATTTTTACTAATTACAGAGAGAATTTCGGGGGATTTTTTTAAAAAAAAAAATTAGGTTAAATATAATTTGTAAAAATTTCTTTCTTGTTTATGTTTCTATTTTTAATTGGCATCTTTTATTGTTAAGGTTAAATTTCATATTAATGTTATGAAGCCAAACTTAAGGAAGAGATTTCATTTTTTTTATTTGTGTGTTAAATTCCTGACTTTGTAAAGTATTTCTAAGATATTGACACAAAGTGTTTTATATGAAATAAATTTTGATTTTATTTATTGTTTTGATTTTGCAGGATACTGGTGACACAGTGGGCAGTGTCCTGAAAGGCTTCTTTAACATCCGGAAGAAAGATCCGATTGGTCGGCTGCCAACCTCTTCCACTTGCTTCAATCTCCTTAAATTACCCAATTACCAAAAGAAGAGTACATTAAGAGAAAAACTCAAGTATGCCATTCATTCCAACACTGGATTTGAATTGTCCTAACCCTGATTACTATCAGTTAGTAGATGCACACATACTTACATGTGTGTGTGTGTGTGTGTATACATTCATAACATAATGTGGATGACAAGCACAAAATTTCCTGGAAGAACCCATGGCAGTCTTCCTAAAACTGAATATTATTTTCCAAAATACACCTCAATTATTGTTATTTTTTTTTCTCTGGGAGAACTACATTCCTTGAGCAAGTTTAATTTTTTTTTAACAGCAATGTTTTAATGGCATACTGTGAGAGGGCCTAAAACATCTTAATTTTTTATAATAAATTTTGATCATTGTTCAAATGTTGCCACATTGTGAAAAAAATGTTAGGTGGCTAATGTTCATAAAAAAGAGAAAATATTCCCCCCCCCATATGTAACTTTTTTTGTGCATTGGAATAACTCTCATTTTTATGTGTGACTAAATGAAAGTAGATAAATGTATATTTGTATTTATTGGATTTATTATATTATCAAGAATGTATTTGACTATTTAAATATATAAGCTTCTGTATATCTGTCATATACAGGGTGTCCCATAATGATGACACATTTTAAATACAAGTATCTTGGATTATAAAAACGATATAGAGTACCAAATATATCTATTACATAATTGATATACAAGAGTTCAACCTATTATCTAAGATTTGAATATTACATCCCTAAGATTGCCATTACCACGAAAAGAACATGCATAAGCTTGCTCTCTCATTTCAAACACAGTGCAGCTTAGCATATCAACTAGAATGACTGTGATCTCTAGATGCTTTGTTCTAGTCCCACAGTTTTCTCACACAATTGTTGAACTGTGGAACTAAAACAAAGCATCTATATAGAAATCACAGCCATTCCAGTTGATATGCTAAGCCGCACCATGTGTGAGCGAGCTCATGCATGTAACACTCTGCATGTGTGTGGGCAAAAGAATCAACACTGTTGAGCGTTTCACACTTCTAAATGTTCACCAGAACATGTATTACTATTCTTTGTGTGGGTTTTGACCCCTGAAAGAAGTGGAAAACAGGTTTTTATCAATTTTTTCTTTGTTTAAGGCTAATGTTTTAGGTTTGTTTATTTTAATTATTTATATTTTATTTTTTATATACTGTCTAAATTTTGGTATTTGAAATGATTTATTTCAAAAACTAAACTTTAGAACTGAACACAGTTTTAAAGAAAAATAAACAACCTACTTCTAGGTCAGGAATATAAATAATAGCTCTAAGCAAAAATATATGGAAACTGGTTTCTCACTTTGCATGTACCTACACAAAGATTAATAACACATAGTCTGATTATCATTTAAGGTGTGAAACCGAGTCCTTATACTGTGCTGATTTCTGTCTCTGATATTGATCAGTCACACACACACACACACACAGATCTTATATATATCTTCATCTCAGTGAATGAGCTGAATATGATAGTCTGCAAAATTTTTAAATCAATACTTTGAAAACAAACAAGTCATCAGAAGGAATTTTTTTTACAATATGGTAACATTTTAACATTGACTTATGCACATGGACCAAAAGTAAAAGCAAAAAGTGAGTTAAAGGAAGCAATTGATCAAAATTTGTAAATTTTATTTGTAATGTCACTTTGTTGATTATATTTTATTCTGCATGTTGAAGGTGGGTTTGGTCATGTGACCATTATTGAACCAAATGGATTTATTGTTGAGCCACCATGTTGATAGCATCAGTAAAATATTTAAATGTTATTTCCTGTTATTTTACAATTTGGTCTTCAAATTAGTTTACAGCTAGGTTTTTAAACTAAAGCTACATTTATAATGAAATAGTAAAAAAAAAAAAAAATATAAAGGCCTCTTAGCAATATGACCACGTCTAAAACATTTGATCATGTTAAATTTTTTAGATTTAGGATGTATTTTTGTTATATGTTAAAAAAAAAAATTATACCAAGAATTATTTGAAATTTGGATAAATGTTTTCAGCTTTGGTTAATATTACCTTTAATACTTACTAAAGAAAATACCTCAAATTTATTTTTTTAACAAAAATAATGAATAACACTTGTTTAGTTTACTTTTCTTTTAACACTAATTCTAGAAATTAAAACAACAGTCTACTCTTGTAGACAAAAAGCAGAGTTCATGTTGTGCTAAATGGTCATATGGTTTTTATTTCAGTTAAAAAAATAAAAAAAAATGTTGCATTAATGTTTTTCAGTATTTGTGTATTTAGTGGATGTCTTCTGCTTGTGGGGAGCTGACATTTACAATTCCATTTGAAAATATACAAATGCTTGACAAGGGTGTCATTGTGTTCTCACTGACTGTATATTGTTATTCCAAGAGGAGTTCACTGAATATCTCCATATGCTTGCCAGTGCAAAAGGATGATTGTGAAAACCCAACACTACTAAGAATAATTCACCATCTTATCCATGATTTTTTTTTTTTTTAAGCAACTAAAGTTCTTTATCAAGATTGAAAGGCAATTGTAGATATGTGGCAATAAATGTTAAGATTCAAAAGTAATATTTATATAGGAAATAATATTGATTGATTTTTTTTTTTTAAGTAAAAATTTTTCCTTTCTCATGTGCATCTGTCTATGAAGTTCAGGCATCAGTGATATTTACAGGTGCCTCTTTGGAGTATTTGCAAATATCTGATTTTCTTAAATTTTTAATGTTGTTTGTGTGGATGGAAAATTTTCATTTTTTTTGCTTACATTACAAGTTTTCATTTAAATTTTATTTTGTTTAGTGCAAATATTGTTGTTAAAGGATCTAAATTAAAAACGGGATTAAAAAACATCACCTTTTGTTAGACTTTTACATGTAAGAGAAGATATTATGTGAGAATGGTTAAAAAAAAATTATTTAATTGTGCCTTGTGGCTGAAATCGTTATGCAAAAGCTTGTCTTTTAATGTTGAAATTTTAACCTTCTCAACTTGAAAAAGTGTTATAACCCCAATTTTTCTTTGTGTTATACTTAATATCAAGTAAACCATGACTTGTGAGCATGAATGTTTTTGAATGGAAAGTAGTGTGTAGTTTTTGCAGTTAATGTATTTTTTTTTTGATTTGTCTTCATCACTTCACTTCATCACTTCAAATTGTGAATTATAGAAATTAATGTTTTGTTATAGCTAATGAAATGAGTTTCTTTTGAATGCTGAAAGGTGTGAACTTGAATTTTAAAAAAAATTGTTCCATTGTAATCACTCAGAATTTTGAGGTTTTAGTTATAAGCACTGAAGGTAATATTAGCTAATGAAGATAAATGTTACAAAAAAAGAAAAATTGAATAAGAACAGAAAGTGCATATCCGACACATGTCTGGCTTGTAACCTTCATTTTCAGTGTTCTTATTCAGACTGGCATTGGTCTTGTATATATCAGCAACACTTTTGGTGATAGGCTTCTAAAAATCTTTCCAGGGTGCTTGAGTGCCTCACTAGTGGTGATTTTCTAAGGCTAAAAGTATGGGACACCCAGTGAGGATCAAACTCACTTTTCAGTTGCCTGACTAGTGATTGGCATTTTACCTTTACATTTTGTCATGACTGCCATAAATTTTACCTTGATTTCTTTTTTGTTTTAATTCAAGAAAGACTATTGCAAAGTAAAAAAAAAAAAAATCAAAAAGAGAAAACTTACATTATATTGGAAATGACAATAGTATTATAAGCAAATATTTATTTGATGGCATAGACATTTACTTTTTTTTAAAAAACACTAACTGATATTTGGCAATAAAAGCAATAATTTCAAATGTCAAAATATATGGACATGATTTTTCTTTTTAATGTAATAAGTCATTGACAATTTTTCACCACTAATAATTTTTAAAACATTACACTTTGAAAATATAATGTGATATCTATTTTTTTTTCTCTATACTCCTAATCCTTCCCAGGAAAAAAAAAATGAAAAATGTCTTTCACTAGTCAACAAAAATTTTTTTCAGGATCTATCATCAATGACACAGCCTCAGATCTGACTATTGAATACAACAGTACCCAAATTTGTAAATAAAAAACTTTTCTTCTTAATTTCAAGAACTTAATTTTATACATAAGCTGGACTTTAATAAATGAAGCAGAAAATCCATGATTGTTGATTAAAAATAGAAAGTTTTGACAGGTCAGTCAGGTAGAACTTTGATGTTATTTTGTGTACACTCATCTACATGTTAGTTTCTTGTTTGAATTCTCCTGACTGTTGCCAAAGTGAAATATCAATGCAGACAAGTTGATTTTCTTTTATTGAAACATACAGCTGGAACGAAACAAGCAGAGAAACACAGCCAGCCCTCTCCCCACTCACCTGTTCATACAAATGATAAACAGAATTGTAATATATTATTAAAATAATAACTGTGATCACTAAAACTTTTACTTCTTTTAAATGTTCCCTAAATCATAGTATCATTGTCAAATTGAGATTTGCTCAGTTGCTAGTCAGTACATATTCAGGTTGTACGTTCACGCCTTACATTAAAACTGAGGCATTTTTCATTGATAATTCTCTGATCTTCACCAGTTGGGGAGGGGAATGTCAATAATTAGTACCAGTGGAATACATGTTCTTGTCTTGTTGGTTATATCAATATTAAAGATGTTTCATTTAAGAGGAAAAAAAAAATTCTATTAAACAAAGGTGAATTTTTACTTTCCTTCTTTTTACACTTTTTTAAATATAAATCCCCTATAAATCCTGTGTATAGTTTTTGCATTTAATCTATTTTAATTTGTCTCCATCACTTCAAATTGTAAATTAGGGAAGTTAATGCTTTGTCTTTAGGTTTTTGCAAAAAAAATAGCATGTTACTTTTTTTATAAAGTGTTTTGCTTAATGTTGCTTTTTTTTTCTGGTAGGGGCTGCCTACAGTCAAATCATGCTGAAAACACTGGTTATTGTTCAATCACAGTACTTAGATGGGAGGGACTGCTTGGGAACATCTATAAGCAACCCCCTACTATCTGAAATATTTCAGCTTTCCCCTGAATGCACGTTGTGG